AAGTTTAGTCCGATGAAGTCCTAACGGATGATATGTGTCACATGAAAGCTTTTACACTTATGTTGTTGGAATTGATTCCCCTCCAAAGGAAATAGGTTCACTTACCAGTCAGAACTTGCTGGTCGAGGTGGCGGTGGTGTTCCATTTTTGGCCATGTCTGGCCAACTGTGTGAGCTAATATCTGAATGGGCACCTGGAGACATGTCCACACTGCTTGTCTGAGGACTCCTGCGTGTCATATGCTGCACTTGTCCACGAAGAGCAATTAATGGATTCTTATCTGTCATATTGTCAGGAGTTTTCATCCTATTTAAGGTAGCAGTCCAGCCTTTTGGTAGAAGAAAAAATAAAAATAAAAATCACCATTTCTTCATTTACATAAAGTGAAGAGTTTAAACAGAATCATTTTGCAAGAATTTGTTGTTACAATGGATTTTCATGAAATGTTGACAAATAATGCACTTGAAGGTTTCTTTTCTATCGACTGTTTTTGTTGACGCAATTAACACTTTCCCCCGATGTAGACATATATATATATATATATATATATATATATACACATTTTTACTGAAAGTGTCCTTTTCAGACAAATAAACATGTCCAAAACAACATTCAAAACTCAGCTATAGACGTGTTTATATGTTAGTCTTGATTCTTTTTATGCCCTTCTGAGTTTGAAACAAGTCCAATTGTCAACACATACATCTGGTAGAGGTGTTAGTCACTGCTTGAATATATTTTCCCAAAAATAATTAGCAGGGAAGGGAGCACACTGCTTTATTAATATTACTTCCCTTTCCACAGTTTTCTTTTTCAAGACCTCACTATTGCAGTATCCTTATTGTTATTTCACTCAAAGTTGTTTTCTGTTGTCATAGTAGGATATGACAACACAACTATAAAATTCAAACACTATTGTTCAGAGTCACCTTCAGTGGCAGGATAAACTTTTTGTACAGCAAGATAAAGGTTAAAAATTGTTTTGCTTCATAATTCTTTTTACTTTGCTTTCTGTCTGATTATTTCCATATTTGATAGAAGTAAATTTTTGTTCCTTTCCTAGTGATAATTTCCTTCTTAGAATCAGCGTTTCCTCTTCTGCTTAATATTCTTCATGCTTTTATGGCTTCTTCACAATGCAGAAAATAAAGGGTGACCCCACTCAAAAAAACAGGATTTTTGAAGTGCGTATTGCCAGACATGAGCAAGTGGCAACATTGCGAGACAGTGACCGCGAGCAAGTAAACATTTCGCCATTTAGAATTCAAAATGAAATTCACAGTATCCCAGCTGAGATGTCGCAGCAATCAATGAGGAATCTCAACAGTAGATTTCAAGAATGCATTCATACAGGAGGACGCCATCTACAGGACGTAATTTAAAAAAAAAAAATGAAAATTCCATCATCGTTTCTTAAATGGCATGTTTTAAGGTTTCAATTACTATGAATAAAATATTTTTCTTCCATCACTGTTGGTTTTATTGGATTGTTAAAAAGTTCCCGTTTTTTTGTGTCACCCTATACTTATCACTTTAAGAACTAGCAATACCAGCTCCTAAAGAAGGGATTGTCTGCAAAATCTATTATGTTCTTCAACATCATGGGAGTAGACTTATGCAAAATTCATGCAAGTTTGACCATTACTCTTTGAAGCATTGTCAATGACTGAATGATTGGTTCCTTCTTTACAGTTTATCAACCCTTTATGGGTTATAAGTCAGGAAATATTTTTAAATTGTAAGAATTTTTTAAGAATGGTTTAGTGATATGTTTTACTAATTAACACATAGCTGGGGGAGAAGAGATGGATTCATACCTTTATCTGTGCATAACTGAATATAATGAAACCAAAAGGGAATTTAAACTTGGCTCTCCGATTAACAATTGTGAGCCATTATCCATTTATATATACTACTGATCCAAGACTACAGCACCTGGTATTCTCAAGCGGTCATCCATCTATAGACTGAGAAGGCGCCATGTTGCTTAACTTTGGTGTTTAAACAGGAGTTTCAACGTCTTATGCCCATAAGCCCCCCACATATTGGGGTAGATTATACAAAAATTCATGCTAATCTGACCCTTACTCATTGAAGTATTGCCAAAGAGAAAAGATGAAGTCATTTTGATAGTTGGCTAGAAAAACTTGAAGTGCAAAAACTCAGAGTTCTGGATTAATTTCTAATACAATAAAAGTCAAACATAGTGTAATAGTTACTGGCAGGGAATGAATAGGAAATTGGTCAAAAGAATTTATAGGCTGGCTGATGCAATTCATATTTTTTATATTGACTCTGTACTAATGCTCTTGAGAAAGGCATGAAAACAAATGCCCTCTAATTAACAACCAGCCTTGAAAGACAGTCTTGAATTTAAGACTATGAAGAAGCCAATGAGAAACCACCTCACTGCCTCCGACAAAGTAGTCATGGCATAAGGAAAAAAAAAAAAAAAAAAAAAAAAAAAAAAAAAAAAAGGGGTGGTGGTTAGGTTTCTCACCTGCAAGTGTTCCATTCAATCCAGATCTTGACTCAACTGAAGTGTCACTGGCTGATGGTTTCTGCTGAGTATTACTGGGATAGAGTGGTGGTGGAGGCCGAGGAGGCAGCTGCTGGCCTAATGGTCGTTGCATCACTGCTGTGCCAGACGCTTGCTGCTGCTGTTGTTGTTGCTGTGGTTGTTGATTTTGTATCTGCTGTAGTATGTGAGATTGTTGCAATTGAGCCAGAGTTAAGAACCTGGGAGGGAAAAAAATAAAAATAAAAATAAAAAATAAAGGAGTTGAAAGATGCAGCATAAAATAAACAGTAAAAACAGACTGTTCTATAAATTAAGTCCTTTCTATCTTTTGAGGAGTCAGATGTCTAGTGTGTGTGGGGGATGAACAAGAATCCCTAAGTGAGCAGCTGCAAAGTGACTATTTTCAACAAGGATGACTTATTAATTTAAACCAATCAGGAGACAAAATTTTGAGAAGTCCAATGGCTGCATAGTGATAAAATGTAGAGAGATTAAAAGCTAATGAGATTGAGTAAAGAAAGAAAGAAAGAAAAAAAAAAATGAATTGCATTTGACACTAATTACTGGATTAAAAAAAAAAAAAAAAAAAAAAAAAAGAAACCACCAGTAATGAAACCACATTTGGATACTAATAAAACCATTTTTGTTTATTATTTTGCAAAGTATGTATTAGATCATATTTGCCATTAACTTGGATAAACAAGAAGGGAAGAGATGATTATTGAATATGAACCAATGAATGATACTATAGAGTTTGAAATCTGACTGCAATCAATATATCTATATACTAAGATTATAGATATGAGGAGAAGTAGGAATACTGATGGCAATTGTAAAAGAGTAATCTCCCTCCAACGGGCAGAGTAAGTTTCCTTGAAATATTCAAATTTAACCATAACCAACTTGTATCCAATTGGGTAATGTCCTTTAGCAAAGAATCCACAAAATATTGCTAAAATATTATGGCATTGAAAGAAAAGGTTTTCTTTAAAACAGCTTGTCTAACAATTGTAAAACTTACATCACCATTACATGTCATCGAGTGATATTTAAATCTTGGCAGTATATCATATTTATGCTTTGCATTAAGAATCCCCAAATATTTAAGGATTTTTTGCTTTTGATAATTTGGGATATATATATATATATATATATATATATATATATATATGACAGAGAAAGAAAAAAAAAAATCAATTCAGCTTTTTGTTATAAAGATTATAGATTCTGAGTGTGATGCACATGCAAAATGACTTTAAACAGAAGATAAAAGATGCGGAAAGCATTGCCCAAATACAAGTTTGATAATCATGACTAATGTAGCTGTTAAAAGAAGGCTCCTATTCTCCCAGTTGAAAAAAAAAAAAAAAAAAATACTAGGATAACTTGTCCAAGGCTCGACAATGCATTATCCAAGCAATAGGCTGGCAATACTGAGTCTTGTTAAAGAAAACAAAGTGAAAAACCTTAAAATGTAGCCAAGTAAATGATGGATTGTTTTCCATGGCTTATCAACCCTTTGCAGGTTGTTTAAAGCCAGGAAATATTTTTAAATTATAAGAATTTTTTTTAAGATAATGATTTACTGATCCAAGTTATACTAATTAACTCCTTAGCTGGAAGGGGGAGGGAGTGGAAGAGGTGGATTTATGTTTCCAAAAGTTATTTGCATGTAAGTGAATATAATGAGCCCAACAGGAATTGGAATTGGAATTTAGCACTCCTATTAACAATTCCAAGCCATTGTCCATTACACCACCTGCACATCCAAGCTTACAGCACTTGGTATTCCCAAGAGGTCATACATCTAGGTAACAGATGTTTGATGTGATGTAAAAAGGAACAAAAATGAACTAAATGCTGCTACACTAAAACTGAAACATCATGAAAAACTCAAGATATCAACAACAAAATGGTAAGTAGAGTGTATTGAAACAGCAGTCCAGATCCATTTTTTAATGACCCCTTTCTAAGCTTGCAAGAAGTAAAATATGTGTGCTAAAAACAAAAAGTAATATTAATATCAAATGGAAAAGGTTAATCACCTCATCCTTTCATTATTTCACAATAATTTAATTTTTTTTTTATAAGAACACATTTCCGGTGAACACACACTGCATTATTAATATTACTTATTTCCACTGCATTCTTTTTAAAGGCCTCTCAATTGCAATAACCTTATTGTTAATTCCACTCAAAGGTGTTTTCTGTTGCCATAGCAGGATATGACAACACAACTATGAAATTCAAACCAATTCAAAGTTCAGAGTCATCTTCAGGAGACAGAATAAACTATTTGTACAGCAAATGAAGTCACATACAAAGTGATAAAGATTAAAACTCAGATTAGCTAAAGCAGAGTAGTTGCTATTCATGCTAATTTTAAGTTCAGATATAAAGGATCTTGAATTTTATGAAATAAAAACAGTTAAGTAGTACTTTGGTGAAATTCTGATGTCAGAAGTCATGAAGCAACAGCAGTTACAAAAAAAAAAAAAAAAAAAAAAAAAAAAGAAATATTGATCATTAAATGTAAGATATGCACAAGCCTAGTCCTTACCCCTTCATACCTTTTGTTTTGTTTTTTAAATCCCATGAAGTCTATCATTCATTAGTAGCTGCACATGGGAAACGAGAGATTTTTATGCAAATTTTAAGTCATGAATATATTTATTCATCAGGTCTACGAAGTACACTAGCAGATTTAATTCAAAACAATTGAAAAATTAGCTCAATGGAATGACAATTGAAACATTCTATGTAAAATGCGGATTGGTGAAGCCACCAATCAACACTCACAATAGCTTATTAAATCTTTTACATTCACAAGAAGTCTTTCTCCAGTCTATCTAAAAAACATTCTTGGGATTCCACAGTAAATAATAAATTTTGTATTCAGCTTGCAAAACTGACAAATATTTCTAATATTTCACAATATGTAAAATATATAGCAACTGGAACAAATGTCCTGATATCATTTAATAACTTTTATTTTGCCAATATTCTTGTTAATTGGCATCACTTCAAGTAAAAGGCACCAAACTAGCCTTCTGCAAAGTATTAAAAAAATTTTTTTTTTTAGTTTTTTTAAAAATTTTTCTTAACTGAAATATAATTTACTTATACCATAAATATAACTAGTTGTGTCTACATGACATTTATATGGTTATACAAATCCAATAAGTCTCAATAAAGAGAGCTGGCATCATAAAATTTCAATTGTCTTCTGATATTGAATGTTTAAATAGTAATAATTTAAATTAAGCAAGAGTAAACAAGGGATTAAGATCAATGCAAAAATTTTCAGTATGGTGTGTGCATGTGTAAAATCTTGTAATCCTAAATTCATAGCATCATGATTCAGTCATTAAAATATTTTTCATGGCATTACATCATCTTTCAGCTATAATTGTGCATTCCATCAGAAATGACCAACTCTGGTTATGAGTAGACAATATATATATTGGAATTTTTGAGCAAAGAAATTATTTTTATATGTTTTTTTGGATCTTCTCACACCTCTAACAGGATAGGGGTGCATAGCAGACAAGGAATATGGCAAAGAATGGAAACAAGTTATAGTCTCTGGAAGGAGGAAATGCTGCAGATGGGAGAACTTTTCAACACACTTCCAAGTTGCATTTGCCATTCAGCGAAACCAATCTCTTCCTAACTCAAAAAGGTCTTTCAATTGCTCAATGTAGCCTTGTACGATAATGGTTTGTCCAAATTCCACACCATTTTTTTTAATTCTTTCAGATGAAAAACAATCCTCTCCACTTATGTTAAGATGTTAAAAGGTTGTCCTGAATTCAGCCACATTTGCTTCACTTTAGATTCTTACAAATCTGTTTTAAATAAAATTCAAATGTGTAAATGCTAACTGATGTTTATTTCTATAAGTTTCTGCAGACCCCATTTTCATAACTTCTGAATTTTTCAAAGCCTTCTACACAACAGCTGACAGGTTCCCCCTTGATTTTTCTGCAAGTTTATGTGTTGTTTGTATTGTTTCATGCAATTTAATCAACCCAGAGCTTAAAAATGGCCTTTTAAAAAAAAAAAAAAAAAAAAACTTTGCAAACCCAACACATGCTTGCAGCTACTGCATGGTTCATTGCTCTGCTGTTTGCTTCCTGCTGCAACCAGATTAAGCATGAAGAGGAAATTGTGTTGAATTTGCATTTTATACAGAACCAGATTTTTTCAATCTAAAATTAAGTAATCATTTGTCAACTGGTAATTTTTACTATAAATATGTATTTTTATACTTTCAAAGTGTTTTGTTTTTGTTTAAGGGTTTACTATTTGCCTATAGCTAGGACCCTAACTGGGTTACCACTCCTGGGTCAGAGTGGACTGTTAACGACAATTAAAGTGGTTCCACGCTCCTCACCCCCACGCACCCCACCAAATCTCCCAATCAGAAGCCTTGCTGCCAGATGTAGTTTATCATCATACCTAGCCCTAATACTGTATAAAAGGGGGGTACTGAAAATTTTTGCATCAACTTTAATAAAACAGTGATTCCCTAAGCTTATAAACAATTATTAGTATCAATGTCCACCCCAATTTAGTTAATGCTCAAATTGTTTTAGATAAATAAAATTGGGCAAGTCCTCATCCATATTTAGATGCACACACTCACACGAAAAAAGAATTCAAATTTAATTTTAAAAATAAAATTGAATAGGAACTGAAATGCATAAAAGTTTAAGGAATAAAATCAGTTTAATCTCCCATTTATTGGGCAGTTAGTCCAATACTGTTTTTAAACTCCATATCAGCAATTCTTTCTATCAAAATTTATATGTTGCAACTATAGTTCTAAAAGTTGCAAAAACATGTAGGCAATTTTTCATGAAATGTCACATATAGAATAGACAACAAGTAAAATTGTTTTCAATAGAAATCAATAAGATGAAGATTTTATTCAAATAAGAATATACTTCCATCACATCTTAACTTGGTACATTTAATACAGCACTGTTGATGATAAAGATATATTTTCAACCTGGAAGAAGCCGGCTTGAGTTAGGATTCTCTCAAGCAGTTGTCTTAAATTCCAACTGATGGCTTCTCTTTCTACAGAATACAGGACTTCATTCTTTAACATTTATCATTTGGAACAAACTACACAAGAGTAAAGGTTTCATTATTTCCCCATCAACAAATAAAAGAAAAAAAAAAAAAAAAAAAAAAAAAAAAAAAAAAAAAGACACCTAATTTTACACACTTGCTAATTTCTTATTTAAGAACAGGAAATGTAGTTTTTTTTTTTTTCCTTACAGGAAATCAACACAAGCTCCTACCCACCTATTGTCCTCATCTTTGTTGCCGTTATCACATTTAGCAGTAAAAATATGAACTGGACAATATCTCTAGACATGAATAGGGGAGCAAGAACAGTCCACCAAACGTGATAACAACAACAAAAATCAGAACAAGAGGTCGACTATAAATGGTGTAAAAAGAAGTATAATAAGAACAAATATCAATAATGGTTACAGAAATTCTTTGAAGAAGTTTTTTTTTTACATATAAATTGGTGTTATTTTAAATGGGGAAGTTTTGGTTGGTCAAGTTGCTGTTTTAAACAACAACAGATCTAAATAGAAAATAACTGATAATGCAAATCAGATATATCAGGAAAAAAAAAAAAAATGAAAAGTGTATGAAAAGAAATAGATTTTTTTTTTTTGTTTTTACACACTCAAACATACATACATCTTTGAAGCCCACTGACGTTGTTTTGCTGCTTGGGTGTTGGCATTCAGGGAGGATTTCACTTCAGTCCTTTTTTAAAAACAGATTTCAAGTTTAGGATTATTTGGTAAATAAAAATAAAAATGAAGAAACATTGTTTCAAATTTCAGTCTTTTTTTCTTCTTCTTCTTTTACAACTTAACATAATTACTAGTTTTGTATTTACAACAATTGTGAATTGCAAATAATTTCCAGTGAAATAAATAAATTTAACATTTAGTTTTCAGGTCATGAAAATAAATTCTGAAACTATCACACAAGTGAAAATTGTCAGGTTTAAAGCATTATGGCATTAATTATTCCCTCAAGAATCTATCAACCACACCAATGGCCTTAATTTCTCTAATCTATAAAATGATTTATAGACTAGTGCCAGGTATTCGATAAAAGTATTAGGTGATAAAAAATAGCTAATAAGCTTTTGAAGACTGGGAATAAAAATCTGAACATAAAAAAAAAAAACACACACACACAAAAAAAAAAAAAGAAAACAAAAACAAACTATTCTTTTACACTAGAAAAGTTAAAATGGATATAATTCAATCTGTTAAAGAGTGTTTTATAAGTCAATAGCACTTATGCTTTCAATGAATCTACTTTCTGAAGAGTCCTATTATTATTTAAAATCATTTCACCACAAGCAAGATAATAAAAGCCACTAGGATGTGAGAGGTTAGAGTGTGAGAAACAGAATAATTAAAGAACAGGGTTCAGCCTTATTCTGAAGTGTGCTATATTACTACTTGTTATAAGCAAATAACTTAATAGCTGCTGGCCTATAACAAATAGTAATATAGTACAGGTTACAATATATTCTATAAATAGATGTTTCTTCTGGCTAACTATTACTATTGTTTTATGCACACTGTAGCATGCAAAATATCAGTTGGCCAACATTGTTTGTTGCTAGGTCAGTTCTATATATCCACCATAGTGAACCGAGAATGGTCAATATTCTGACAACTAGAGATTTTACAAACTCAAATGCAGAAATGCCTGATAAAGTGGCAATTTAAGCATTGATAAAATAATTTTACCCTGGCATTAGACATTGAACATCCCAGAGTGTGGCAATCATAGCTTCCCTGCCTTTAATAACTATAAAACTTCTTGGAAAAGATAGGAGAGTGGTTTTCCATTGCCCTCATGATCATGAATTGTTCCCCTAGACCAGTTGCCAATTAAGGCCAAAGATCCTAGTATGCATTGCTATTTTATAAATAGCTAAAAGGGGTAAGAGATGGGTCCATCCCTCTCCTAAAAAAAAAAACAAAAAAAAAAAAAAAACATTAGTTCAAAGTGAATGCATCAACCTTAGTTGGAATTTGAACCCAAAACTGCTGATTACCATTTCCCATGCTAATAATAACAGGCCACCTGCACAATCATTAAAAGTCAAATGTTGTCAGGTTTAAAGCATTATGGCATTAATTATTCCCTCAAGAATCTATTAGAAGGAACCCCTTTCCGATAGTGAACAATGATTTTGTTATGAGAAGAGGAGGGCCATATACTGTCAAAGATGGTAAACAATTTAATTTCTAAGGTATGGCATTTTTTAAAAATTTTACTACTAAAGTCACAAATATGGCATACGTGGGTCCAGCATTTGTACTTGCAATTATTTAATGCCTGTAATTGGAGTTAAACAATACTCTCAGAAATATCAAAAGAGATTCAAAGGCTCTAGGAAAGTTACATAATGTCATTTCATTGTGTGTGTATGTGTGTGTGTATATATTACAGATTATACCTGGCTAGTGAAGATAGAATGGAGGATGAAATGCTTGTGTAAAGAAAAGTTTTCCTTTTGTTTTATTCATATTTATCTTTTTACAGATATTTTTTTTTATTTATATCTGATTTTTTTTTTTTTTTTATAAAACTGCATTAAGATCACATGTAAAAAAAAAAAAAAAAAAAAAAAAGTGCATATTGTGCAGTGTTACCTACTCACAGGAAGTAGTATGCACTCAACAGCTTCATGGGTAATAGTCATGGCTATTTATAGTCTTTGTGGTTTCATATATAAATGAGGCACATCATCTCCCTATACCAAAGAAGTTCTATCCCCTTATTTTCCTTGGTACTTCTGGGAGCATTTGTCTCCTCACTATCTTTCTCCCTCTCCCTAAGAGATTGTCTAGATATGAGAGATCTTGACCTTTTTCATCTTACAACGATTCTTCTTGTTCATCTTCAGAGTCTATATTACTCTTGATTTCACGGTTTCTACTTTCTTCATTTTGGTAAAACATAACTTTAAATAGATTCATCTTGAAACAGTTATTTTTTATATTTCGGACATTTGCTTTTTCTTTGATGTTGGTATCCACAATAAGTATTATTCTATCTTTTTTCTTTATCGCGTAGGTGTCCATTTTCTCTAACAGAACCATAATTTTGTTCTATTAAATTTTCCCATTAATTCTTGTTGCTGAACAGAACTTTCATTTGAGTCTAAGCAATTAGTAAAAGTGTCAAATAATGAAGCTTGAATTTCGTTAAAAAGAAATGATGGATAACAGCAGAAATTGGGTGAAACTTTCTGATTAGCATGAAGAGAATTTATCAGAAATAATGAAAGGGAAGAAAAGACAAAGTGAGAACATGTTGTGAGAAAAGATTATGATGATGCATGATCACAATTGTCTCATTTTATAGAGAATAATCTGCAGAAAAAAACAAAGAAAAGGGGACAGGTAAGTAGAGATATTTGCAAGAATGCCTGAATATTATGCAAGACATAAATTGAATTCATTTTCCTATCCAATATAAAGTGAAGAGCAAGCAAGAGAGAATGTCCAACCTCACATTACAAATAAAAAAAATTCAACATTGCTAAATTTTTCTTTCTAGAATTACCAATTATTTATATGAAAGCAACCAAACCCCAAAGAATATTAGTTACTTAGTTGTCCAGGCTGTAATCATAGCTGGGACCTCTACATCTGAAGAGATGCTATGGAAATTGCAGGGTTAATTTTATGCTTGTTCCTGCATAAATCCTATGCTTTAGTATCAGACTTTGATAGATTTGTTTTTTTTTTTTTACAATTTGTCAACCTTTTGAAGGTTATTTAAAGCCAGGAAATATTTTTAGATTGTAGGAATTTTTTTTTGTGATATTAATGATTTACCAATACAAGTTCTACTAAATAACCCTTTGCTGGGGGCAAGAAGAGATGGATTCATGCCTTTCCAAAGAGTATTTGCACATAAGTGAATATAACAAACCCAACTAGAATGAGAACTTAGCTCTGTGATTTCCAATTGTGAGCTGTTATCCAACCTGCACATCCAAGCTTACAGAATCTGGTATTCCCAAGTAGTCACCCATGTAGGTACAAACCAGGCTTGACATTGCTTAACTTTGGTGAACATACAAGGACCAGTGTTTCAACATGATATGGCCATAAGCCAATCAGACTGTGCCATTCCAGATAATCAAATGCAAAGACTTCAAGATTAGACATTTTGAAGGGTACCAGAGGTTTGACTAACATTTTAAAGGGTACCAGAGGTTTGACTAACATTTTGAAGGGTACCAGAGGTTTGACTAACAGAAGAAAATTCAAAGTCTGTCCTTTTAAATGATAAACATCTTTATTTTTTACTAGAAGAATCCTTCTGAACGTTTTGGTAACTGATATTTTGGTGAAAATACTTGTTTCTGTAGAAATTAAACAGAAAAGTTTCCAGAAATAGTTAATTGAAACTCCCTTTCTCTCCTCTTATGAATTCCATTGTAAACAGATGCACACAATGACAGCCCTTGTTCAGTCTTTTGTCAACAGGATAAATCATTGAACATTTTGTTTAGATTCTAGTCTGCATTGGCATGCACGAATAGACAACATACATTCACAAAGAAACGAAAAGTGAAAATATTGCCAAGGTGAGAAATGAAAAACACAAAACCTCTTTCCATTATTTATTCACAGATTAACATGTCACAGTCTAGAGGATAAGGTAGATGACACCTGGGACATTTTTGCTGCTACTTCCATCTTTTTCACAACAGACCAGATCTTCCCATCCTTCAGCCAGTGAGAATTTCATTGGCCTCTACATTTTGCTTGCCATGTCTAATGGCCATCTCTGCTTTCTTACTATTAACCATTCTGTGCCTACCTACATGGTCTGTTTGAAAAGTAACAAGATTGATGTCACAATTTATTTCAATTCCAAACTACATGATTCCCCCTTCAAATTAATGCCCCTTGAGTCAAATGCACTTTTCCATTCTTCTTGGATGCCCCCTCAGCTCCATCATCAAAATGGGTCCCCCTTGATGATCTGCTTGAGCTTGGGGAAAAGAAAAAGTTACATGGAGCAAGATCAGCTGAATAGGGAGTTTGTTCAAGTACATCTATATTGTTCTTGGCCAGGAACTGCTGCATGCTCGGAGTGTTGTGAGTAATTGCATTGTTGTGATGAAGCAGCCACGACTTGCTGTGACAATTCGTCTCTTTATCGCACACTGAGCAAAGAAACACCACGGGTGTCTTTGCAGACTTGCTGATTGAACGTCTGCCCCTGTGGCAAGAATTCACTGTGGATGATGCCCATAGTTCACACAGCACATTACTTTTCAGACAGACCTTGTTTTTAAGCATATGACCGGATTTTGGCTATATTGTTGGTCATAAAAACAGCAGACCCTTCAGACTCGAATAAAATCATTTATTCTTCACTATACGGTGGTTATCCTGATCACAAGCTGGTCCCACTGTGTCATATTTCAAGAAACATTTAATTTAGAAAACTGTATTTTATAAAATGGTTTTAAGATTAATTATTCTGATCGATTAGTAAGCCATTCCAGGTTAATGCTAAGGTTTAAGAGGCTAGATAATATTAGAACACATTCAAAAATATTACAAAACCATACCATTGGTAGACGAGAATTTTATAGACTGTTAACTAAGGGAGGTATTTGAGATGGGATGCTTGTCAAGTAATGGGAGTTAATATTCATGCAGAGAATTTTATTTTATTAAAAGTATAAAAACATTTCTCATGTTTTAACTAAAAATTACATGGTGCCTAGAATTTATCTTTCTTGCAGCTATGTTGTAGAAATGGTGCTGAAACATTTCTGTACAATCCAAGCACACAGATACATAGGTAACAAAGAATTAATATAGAGTTTGATACTATCTCTATCCCACAATAGTCATTCCATTTGAATACGTTATGTGCAACAGCTATTATGGATCAGAGGTTGTATTCAATTAGTATCAGATAGCCTTAAAGACACATGTTAAAGTATTAAGGTAGATTATGGCATATCACATTGAAACACAGTTTCCCCATACGAGCACTGAAGTTAAGCAATATTGAGTCTGGTCAGTAGCTAAATGGGTGACCACTCGGGAATACCAGGTACTATAAGCTTGAATGCATATGTATGGATAATGGCCTTGAATTGTTAATCAAAGAGCAAAGTTAAAATTCCAGTTAGGTTTGTTATGTTCACTTACACAAAAACCCTTGAGAAAGTTATGAATCGATCTGTTCTCCTCCCATCTATGGGTTAATTAGTAAGACTTATATTACTAAATCATTATAATCTAAAAAATAAAAAAATCTTACAATCTAAAAAATATTTTCTGGCTTTAAATAACCTGCAAAGGATTAATAAACTGTAGAAAATGAAAGAATCAAAAGAGCTGTTTATCTAAGAAGCAATAGTCACTCAGTCCCAAGTGTATAAGCATCACCTCAGAGTTAAACAACCAGGTGAAGATCTTTACATGTACAACAACAACAACAAAGGGAATTGATTCGGTAAGTTTTCATTTCCGAGTAAGTGTTCATTAATTGGAAATAAGAGTTGCTAACATGGCATTTTCTTTGCCAATCTGTCTCTATTCATACTAATCAATTTGGCTGTAATACAATCAGAAACACACAAATATACAGTTTATCTGTCCATATTCCAAGAATGTAAAAAGGAATTTATAGAAAAAAGAAAAAAAAAAGAGGAAAAGTGATGATTGTGTTTGATCACTATTTTTATTCTATTGTATATTTATTATTTATAAAAATGCATATTTTATTTATTCAGTCATTATTCTTTAGCTAAATTGGTAATCAATGTATTAAAAAAAAAAAGGGAGGGGGGGGCGTTATTTGGTAAACTTATTTTATTACAAATATTTACCACATATTTGCTAACTTATTTTTATGTTTATCATGAATGACTGAGCTTTATTTTAATCTTTTGTTGGAAGAAGACGTATTTTCAAAAATGCATTTCAAATTTTAGTGATTATTTTTATTATTATGTATAGATGATTATTTTCTATTTGACACTTAAGCAATTATTTTAACAACAATAATAATTGGTCTTTAAATATTTGATGGGTTACTGATTTTATATATGATTTTTATTATTACCTTGCTTCTAACAACAACAACAATAATAATGTGAAAACAACCCATTCATTCTGATTTGCAGCAGTTGTCAAAAATCTGTTTCTAGTGTTTTAATGCCTAACACTGGAATAAACATCTTTTGACTATTTTCAAAATTTTATTTATTATCACAAATTTTTGGAAGCAATTTTTATACACCTTTCTAAGTTTTGTTAAGTCTAGGTGTTATAAAAAGAAATGTAGCTACGGATCAAATGCAGTTTTAGAGTAAGCAATTTCCTAATTATTTTCAGGATATTTGAATACTAAAAACTTAAATATGTCACAGGAAAAAGAAATTATCCAGTGAAATGGTGGCAAGTGGAACAAATTTAGCTCAGCAGTGAAAAAAAAAACAAATTTTCTTTTTAAATTTTCCTATAGTTTCCAATCTAAACACAAAGAAAGACCTGACCTTTTAAAACACCCACACAAAACATAGCAATATCAAATTTAATTTAGGGTGTAAAATAACAGCAAAACATTGCACATGTCTGTACCAACTTGTGTTTAACCAAAATTAAGGCCAAAAGTATTTGGGTTCAAGCACTGTCCAAGTCTTAAAAAAAAAAAAAAAAAAAAAAATTCCTTCCAAATTCTACAAAGAAAACAAAAGTAGAAAGTTTTCTAATTACATAACCTCGAAGACACATGCCTTCAAGGTTATACAATTAGAAAATTGCCTGGGAAATTACTTAAGCTTTTAAATAATCCATTTAACACCCATAAAAAAGGTCATGTTTTGGCTTTCTTAATTTTGGCAAAATTAAGAATTGGTAAATACATGAAATTATATATATATATATATATATATATATATATATATATATATATATATATATATATATATATATATATATATATATATATTATATATCCAGCTAGACAAAATTTTACAATGCTTATATAAAACACAAATAATTATGGACATGATGAGACCAACTGGAAAAGAAATTATTTTCTGGTCTTACTAGAAATTTAGAGTGTGGTACTAATGCTACTATATAAATAAAAATTACTGGTCAAATACTGTTTGAAACATGTTATTTTACACCCTGAGAAGAAAACATTTAGAAGATGTTTACCGTTGAGGCTGAGTGAACTGGCCAGGGGGCACACCAGAAGGTGGATAATAGACAGAGTTCGTTTTCACCATGTTGTTCAAAGCAGACACATTGTTACTGGGACCATTGGCTAAAGCCTTCACCTGCTGACTGTTGCCTTGCAGGTTATTCTGTGGCTGCTGAGGGGGTGGGGGCGGTGGTAGTGATGGCTGCTGCTGCTGTTGCTGCTGTTGTTGTTGCTGCTGTTGTTGTTGCTGTTGCTGCTGGTGGTGCTGTTGTTGTTGTTGGTGGTGTTGCTGCTGCTGTTGGTGGTGTTGCTGCTGTTGTTGTTGGTGGTGCTGCTGCTGTTGTTGTTGTTGTTGGTGCTGCTGCTTTTTCTGCATCTCATGCAGCTTTTGCATAAGGATTCGATGGTTGTCAGGTGACAGTTGGCCAATGTAGGGCATATAACGAGCATCTAAAGTCTGGGCAGCACTCTTTGTCAGCACAGCTGAAGTATTGCCACTGTCTGTAGATACCACAGTTGGAATTTTGCCGTAGTGACGTCCATCAATTTGCAACGAACCCAGTGATTTAATAGCAACAACCAAGTTGTCAATGTTATATGTAAACTGGATGTCTACCTTGTGATTTGGGTGGGGTACACGCAGAGGGGAGTCTATCAGCTTTTTGAGGTTTTTCTTCATGAAATTCTTAGTGTAGAGAAGCGACAGACTGCTGCCAGTCTTAATGGCTTCTTCAACAAAAGACACGCAATGGGATGTCCTGTCGTCCAGGTAGTTCACTTCATTTGTTAACTTAAACAGATGGTCCTTCTTTTGTCTACAGGCAAAATCCAATTCAGAGATGACATTCTTCAGTCGACGCATCACTTCCTGGGTGATCTTCTCACCAAGGCTCTTTATTTCGTCCACGACCACCTGTTCTCGATCACGGATGTCTGTGTGCCGTTGCTTCAGCAAGTGTCGAGCCTGCTTTATCTGATTCTGTTTGTCCTTTACACGCATCAACAGTTGTTGCAGAATTTGTTTCTCCTTGTTCGAAGCCTCGTGCACAAACAGATACTTGTGTTCCTTGTGCTCGAGAAGTTGGCAGTCGCGACAGGTCACTTTGTCACAAGTTTCACAAAACAGCTTCAGTGGCTCATGCTTGTGCAGTTTGCAGTACACGGTCTTTTCACTGTTGATATTTTGGTTGCGTATCGCCTCCTCCTTGGTCACAACTGTATGGTCCTTGGTCACACGCACCCGCTTGTGGGCCTGCACACACTGAGCACAGAGCCACTCGCCGCAGTCACCACAGTACGACGTAGCTGGGTCACTTTCCTCACATGCTGTGCATGTGTAGCTAACATCTTCCTTTTCTTCGGAGCTGATTTTGCTGTCCAGATAGAATTCGTTGTTGATGATTGCAGTTCCAGGGAATTCCATAGAACAAGTTGGACATTTGAAAGTATCTAGGAAAAAGAAAAGACAGAAAAGCATTAAAAACATTTATGCGAAACATCAATATTGTTTGATGAAAAGATTCAATCTGGTCACACACCTATCTTGTAAGACTTACAACACAAACTTGTATACATATATATATATATATATATATAAATAAATAAATAATCACACACAATGACTGCTCTGACAGTAATGAATCCAACTGATGTCCTCAGAAGACACAATTGATACAGGTAGCAAGGTAACACAATGTTGAATAGAGTAAGGTTTCAGCTACAAAACACTATTTTTCAACATAGCCTTCATTTTGTTGCTTGACAGTTGTGTACTGCTGTCTAGAATGTGACTTGTCAGACATTGCTGTTGCCAAAATGCATTACCGACAACCTAACTGATCATATCCACTGCATGGTACCCACAAATGTTTGACAAAATGTTGATTAATGTCAATGGTTGCAACAACACAGTTCTGCTCCATATACACTTTCAGGCCAATTTTGCTAGACAGCCACTCAACTGTAATCTGTAACAAGGCAAAAGAAAAATTATAAGTTATTTTGGTGGGAAGGCATAACTCCTGCCATATCACCAACATAAAACAAGAGGCATTACTTTTAAAGAAACCTCTGTCTCATATATATATATATATATATATATATATATATATATATAAAATAAAAAGGATTTTTCATTTATTAATCCAACATATTTTAATTTATTGCTTATACATTATTTTAAATAGATACCAATATCCGAGTAGATGCTCTGTTTGTATTTATTTTTCATCTACTGGCCTGAATATTTGAGAAATCTTGTTAGAAAAATAGGGAGGGGCACATATTTTCCTAACATTTCTCAAATATTCAGGCCAGTAGACAGAAATAAATATAGTTTAATAAATAAATAAAAATGGAGCATCTACTCAAATATGGATACCATTTAAAATAATGGTTAAATAAACTTTATTATATATATATATATATATATATATATATATATATATATATATATAATGCATGACCTTCATTTAACTGTTGTTCATCTTGTGTTTTACAGATAAATATTAGTTCTTATCTGACTGAGATTGAAATCTGTGGACAAAATTCAAATCATGTTATAAAAATTTTTCTTTTTTAATTTTCTTAACTATTAGAAATTATCTATCCACCTTATCCTCATAATCTTCACTTTCTATCACCTCTTAGATTCATATCATACTCCTCTACCTTAAGTGGCTCTTGAGCATTGTATTGGGTGAATTAAATAAAAAATCTGAAGGATTATACCAAAGACTATTCTTTTCCTAGAGAAATAAGAAAAATATACAGAAATTAAATTATTATTGACATTTTATGCTACAATCATTTCTGCCATTAATCAGGTCTGAAATATTAAATAGGATTTTAATATTGAAGAAATAAAGAAATTCAACAACAGTTATTCTGCTGTAGTTTTTGTTTTTGCTAACCAGGAAATATAAACTTAGAATCTAAAGTGGTCCTGTTATGTAATAACCAGAACATTTCCCCACACCGATTTATATGCATTTGAGAACTATGATTGCAAAGATGTTCCCCGATTGATTCAAGCTAGTTTGAGTATTTGTCCAGTGGTAAGAGTTATTTATAATTGTATGTTAATTTCAACAGCTATACCATGAAATGGGGAAACATAGGTCAACATTTACCACCTGTAAAAGATCTTTGAGAATACCAAACAAGATCTTTATTATTTATCAGTAAATGGATACCATCAAATCAAAGGGAAGTCAACATAAAACCTACAACAGGATTTAACAGAAGCATGCATCCCATAATAATTGATCTGCCTAGCAAGCTAAGTTACTGCAGTAATGCAATAACAACAGCAATTTACTTCATGCTTTACAATATTCCCAACATTTTATATTATATATTTTAGGTGGACATTGAAGTCTTCAGGCAATCTACATGCCATTGGGTGTTGACGCCAATGTACGCTTATGTGTACATATGCTCTATCCCTGATATCAAGAACTTTAACGCATAAACATAACATCATAACTATATCTTTTCCATTATATATATATATATATATATATATATAATAAATGCTATGTGCAATGAGTATGAGAGAGAGTAACATTAAATTCAACTAAACACTTATCAGAAGAAGAAGCTAAGAAAAATTGAAAGGGAATTGAAAGCCTAGAATAGCCAAATTCAGACAGAAGTACAATGTACTTTTTGAGTTGGACCATCTAAGATGTGGAACAACATTCTGAAATTTGGTGAAAAAGGTATGTGGGTTGAGAAACTGAGGTCACCCCCCCCCACACACTTATCAATCCTTTGTGGTTTATTTAAAGGTGAAACATTTTTGGGTATTTGGGACAATGAGCTGTCCTGATACAAATCCTACTATTTATTCATAGTTAGGGGGGAAAAGAGATCATTAGCATAGAAGACCTATTGATTACCCAATTATCTGGGGAGAGAGAGAAAAAAAAAAGAAAAGAAACAGAACTATTTAATAGAGCCTAAAACAATAATGTCAAGGTCAAGTATTTACACATATCTTAATAATCACTGATTCGATTTATACTAATTCAATAATAATAATCATAATATGTAGGCAGAAAAATGAAAAAGAATTTGACACTTCATTATAATTCTTCCTGAGAAAAAGGAAGTAAATGCTACCTAAGTGCAGACAAAAATATTGCTTGCAACATTACTGAAGTTATAGAATTATTTTCCTCTTAAAAAGACAACTGAAAGCTTTAATGCTAAAATTATCTACGCCACAGATTAATATAACTATCTACTCAAAATTTTCAAATATTTAGAGATATTTTTTAAAGAGATTTTACAAATATGCGTACATTTGAAAATGTAGATAAAAAAAAAAAAAAAATTATGGAAATAATAATTACAAACTTCTGCTTTTAGCAACAGCAATCAATCTTGCTATTTATTCAATAAGAAATTCATTTGACTTCTTATAAAGGCCAAGGGCAAATAACTGCAAGTTTCTTACCTACAGTAGAAGAGGCTAAATGCTATTGTTCTAACAATTTGTCAACAATCAACTAGAGATTAGAAACTAATGTTCTTTGTAAATTTTGGAAAAAAATCATCTTTGGTATATTGTGGGATTTATTAGTTTCTCAAACACCCTTGACTCACAGTAAGAATAAAATTCTTTTTAATTTCATGCATTGCATAATATGAACTTGCTTGCAAGTGAATTGTACAAAAACAAAATTACTTGTCAGAGTTGCGAGCAAAGAGCAAGTACAGACATGCAACATATAAATGGAGCCTTATCCCAACCGACACAAGCGGCCTGCCCAAAAACTCATGTTATGATAGCCATTATTCTACAGGCATTATAAAGATTTAAAAATAAATAAAATAGTAACAGAAATGCTCTCATTAATTTATGAGTTTGCCACTTATAAGTCATTGTATTCGACATCACTTCTGACGAAAAACAGCATTCAAAAACATGTCTTCTTCCTGTTCTACTATCAGCAATAAGCCATAAAAAGCCTTTAAGTCACCTGTATATACAAACCGTGTAATTTATATGTTATGTGCCATTAGTTTCAAGTAGAGGCCTTATTTTTCTCTCTCAAAAGTATTTTTTTAATGATTAACTGGGTTCAGAAACTATTTTTTTTTTTCATCAAATATGGCAATGTATGCTCTAGTAAGAGCAAAAATCTATATATGAAAAAGAAAATGGTCAATCTTTCAATAAAACAAATCTTATATGGTCTTTTAACAAAATATACAGATTGACAATATATTTGGTATAATTTCAATACACATGATGAATGGAGTATTAATGAAAAAAAGAAGAGAAGATTTGATTTTTGACGTTCATTTGAACAGAAATTCAAAAGTCTTTAGGGTCGGAGCAGAAATGATTTTCAAACTGATTTTGAATTCAGTTTTACTTCTCATCTACCCTGCTATTTAACCTATAGCCAGTGGGAGATTGATTTACACCTTTTCCAAGGGTAGAATGAAATCAGAACAAAGTAGGAATTGAACCCAGCATGCCAAATTCACTTTCCACATGGATAATCTTTAGACTCCTAAGTATAATATAAATAAAAATAAAAATTCCAAAAGTAACTAAGTTTCTTTGCTTATTAATTCAGATGTTTTTCAGAGTAACTTGCATCTCTCATATAGAGATTGAGATGGGTTGAGAGAGAGGAGTAATGTAATGTGTGGAGAAGAAGAAAAAAAAAAAAAAAAGAATAGCAATAGAAGTCAAGTAATTTTGTCCCATTAGAATTGATGTGTTATGCATGTCATTAAAAGACAACATAATCAAAATTACCTGGAAGGCATCCCATTTTGAATAAGGTATTTACTGACAAAAAACTGGCTGTTTTTTTTTTTTTTAAATAATTAAATATTAGGCTTTGCAGATTGTTGCTAAAAATTTTATTGAATGTAATATATCAAATAACTGGGAACTACATTTGACCATTGAGACCCCCCCCCAAATGTTCACTCTGACCCAATCTACGGTGACTAGTAGCAGCTACTACACTGCAATTCTTGAGATGAACCTTCTTACTTCAACAATACTGTCATGAATCATGAGTCTTACTACAGAACTGAAAATGTATTTGCACTAAAAACCAGCAAATGTTTGCCAAGTGATTAAAAAAAAAAATCCTTTTTAAATATTAAGTCATGTCACATGCATAAAGCAACTAAAAAGTTATTACAGATTGATACATGCTAAGATTCTTTAAGAGCAGTTTGAAAATTCATATTTTCTTGGCCAGTTCTTTTGTTTTGCTTTTACAACTACAGAGAATGGATACAAAATCAACAGCCAATATGATGCAATTATAAATGGACCTGGGAGTGGGGGAGAGTGCCAGAGGACAGAATTCTATATTTCTTTTTTAATGCAGCGAGAAGAAAAAAGGCAGGTAGATTTCAAGTAACAAATATATCCAAAAATTGCTCTAGCTTGGAGAGACAGACAGACACTA